TAAACTTATGAGTAAAATGAGTAAAATAGCCAAATGTAAGTGCATACTTTAAAAAAAAAATTAAAATATAGCAAACACTCTCAACTTGCAATTCATTTTTATTGTGCATTTAAACCATTTCACTGATGAAAGTTCTGATGAAGGGTTCTGATCCGAAACTTTGACTTTCCTGCTCCTCTGATGCTGCCTGGCTTGCTGTGCTCCTCCAGCTCCACACTGTGTTGACTAACTCCAGCATCTGCAGTTCTTGCTATCTCTGAACCATTTTACTCTTACCTGCTCCAGAGTCATGAACACTAAAATGACGATAGAAGGTGTCATCAACAGTGCTATCAAGCAGCACCTGCTCAGCAATAACCACCGATACCGACTTTGGGTTCTGCCAGGGCCGCTCAGCTCCTCACCTCATTACAGCCTTGGTTCAACCATGGACAAAGAAGCTGAATTCCAGAGGTGAGGTGAGAGTGGCAGCTCTTGACATCAAGGCCACATTTGACAGAGTGTGCCGTCAAGGAGCCCTAGCAAAACTGGAATCAATGAGTACCAGGTGTCAGACTCTCTGCTGGTTGGAATCATACCTGGCACTTAGGAAGATGGTTGTGGTTGGCGGAGATCAGGCATCTCAGCTCAAGGCCATCACTGCAGGAGTTCCTCAGGGTAGTGTCCTCGGCCCAACCATCTTCAGCCGCTTCATCAATGATCTTCTCTCCATCATTAGGTCAGAAGTGGGGATGTTCGCTGATGATTGCACAATGTTCAGTGCCATTCACAACTCCTCAGATACTAAAGCAGACTATGTTCAAAGACATTTCAGTCTGGACAATATCCAGGCTTGGGCTGAAAAGTGGCAAGTAACATTTGTGCCACACAAATGCCAGGCAATGACCATCTCCAATGAGACACAACCTAACCATTGCCCTTTGCATTTAATAGCGTCACCATCACTGAAACACCAAGTATCAACATCTTCATGATTACCATTGACTAGAAACTCAACTGGGTTCAAAATATAAATACAATGGTTATTAGAGCAGGTCAGAGGCTAGGAATGCTACAATGAGTGACTCACCTCCTGATTCCCCAAAGCCTGTCTACTATCTACAAGTCAGGAGTGTGATGGAATACTCCCCACTTGACTAGATGGGTGCAGCTCCAACAACACTCAAGACGCTTGATACCATCCAGGACATAGCAGCCCATTTGGTTAGCACCACATCCTCAAATCTTCAGTAACTCCATCACCAATGCTCAGTTGCAGCAGTGTGTACCATCTACAAGATACACTGCCGAAAGTCACCAAAGAACTTAGACAGTACCTTTCAAAGCCATGACCACTTCTATCTAAAAGGACAAAAGGGCAGCAAATACATGGGAACACCATCACCTGCAAGTTTCCAAGTCACTCACTATTCAGATTTGAAAATCTATCACCATTACTTCACTGTCACTGGGTCAAAATCTTGGCAGTCCCTCCTTAACTGTATTGTGAGTCCATCTATATCAAACTAACTTCTTTTTATTCGTTCACAGGATGTGGATATTGTTGTCCACCCTAATTGCCCAAAGGGAAGTTAAGAGTCAACCACCATTGCTGTGGGTCTGGAGTCACATCTAGGCCAAACAAGTAAGAATGGCAGTTTCCTTCCCTAAAGGATATTATTGAACCAGATGGGTTTTTCCAACAATCAGCAATGGTTTCACAGTCATCATTAGACTCCAGATTTTTATTGAGCTCAAATTCCACCATCTGCCATTTGGCAAGATTTGAACCCATGTGACCATTAGCTGGTGTCTCTGGATTAATAGTCTAGTGATAATACCACTAGGCCATCACCTCCCCAAATGCAGCAGCTCAAGAAAGTAGCTCACCACCACCTTTTCAAGGGCAACTGGGATGGGCAATAAATGCTGGTGCAGCCAGTGACATCCATGTTCCACAAGTGAACAAAAGAATTGCAGGCCAATGCTCCAGTGTAGTATTGAGGGAATGCTGAACTGCTGGACATGCTATCATCTGGCTGAGATGTTAACCCAAGGCACTGCCTGCCCTCCCAGGAGAATGCAAAAGAGCCCACAACACTATTTCAAAGAAGAGCAGGGGGAATCCTCCCTGGTGTCCTGGCCAAACTGTATCCCTTAATCAAAATCACAAACAAAAGCAGATTATTTGATCATTAATATTGGCTTTTTTGGGATCTTGCTGTGCACAAATTGCCTATTGCGCTTCTTAAATTACAACAGTGACTGCATTTTGAAAGTGTCAATCAGAAGCATTTCGGGACTTCTTGCAGTCACAGATGGCACTGTATACAGCAAGTTTTTCTATATGGTATAGTTTCTTGTAAAGCATGTTTTTGACTCTGGTATTTACGCTGTAATTAAATCACTATAATTATTTTTAAGTATATTTGAAAAAGTAACTCCTGTAGAAATTCTATTAAAACATGTGTTCACCTTGATATTGGAAACTGGTTAAGTAAACCTCTTACCCTATGATAGAACCTTCTTTGGCCCAATCTACTCTCTGGACTAAATTTAAGATGAGATGTTAATTCAAAACCCTGAGTGCCGTCTCAGCTGATGCAGAAGATCCAAAGCAATTGCTGAAAGAAGTTCAGGAGAGTTATCCCACTGGCTCTGCTGAACATTTAACCTCCAACCAACATTAATAAAAGCAGACTGTCTGATTATATTTATCTCGTTGCTTCTCCAGGACCTAGGATGCAATTTGTCTGTCCACTTCTCTATACTGTCTTAACATCAGTTTGTTGGCTGTTAAAGGTACTTTTTTTGACATTCTGAAGGCATGGAAAATGCTTTGCAAATACCTCTGAAATCTTAAAATGAAGACCTGCATTTATCTAGCTCTTTTGACAACTGGCAGATATCTCAACGTTATTCACTATACATGAAACACCTTTGAAATGTAGTCACAATTACAATGCAGAAAATTGCACCCATCTTGAAAACAATATTACAACAAAGATTTATTCAAACTTATGATTGTTTGTGAGAAAAGTGATAGGTCATGGAATGAAAGGGAACAAGGATACAAAGTTGGCTGAGGGTAGGAAACTGAGAGTAATAGTTAATGCATATTTTTTGTGTTGGAAGAGGATGGTAGTAGAGTTTCTCAGGTGTTAGTTATAGGACTCTTGCTTTTCCTGATGTATATGATTTTGATGTGCAGCAGACAATTTCAAATCTTGTGGATGACACAAAACTTGGGAGAATTATAACCTGAGAACAGTGTAGATCTTCAAAAGGACATTGATAAGTTGATGGAATAAATGGATAGATGGCAGATGAAGTTTAATACAGAGAAGTGTGAGGTGTAAAACTTTGATACAAAAAACATTGAGGGTCAATATTAAATAAAGAGTAGTATTAAAAGGGTTTGTAGGACCAGAGAGACCTGGGTGAATATGTACATAAGTAAATGAATGTCACAGGACATGTAGAGAGAGTTGTTTATAAAATATAGAGTCTGCATTAATAGTAATATAAGTACAAAAGCATGGAAGTTTTAATGAACTTATATAAGACATTCGTTTGGCCTCAGCTGACGTATTGTGTACATTCAAGGCACTAAACTATAGGAAGGGTAGTGCAGAAGAGATTATGACAATGGATGCAGGGGTGAGGCACTACAGCTATGGGGATAGGATTTGTGAGGTTGGGAGTGTTCTGCTTGAAGAGGTGAAGGCTAAGCGGAGATTTGATAGAAGCTTTCAAAATCATGAGAGGGCTGAACAGAATGGATAGGGAGAAACTGTTGCACTCATAAACAAATCAAGAACCAGTGGACAGAATTGTAAAGTGTTTTACAATAAAGCAAATGAGTTGTGAGAGAAGAAATGGTTTTGCTCAGTAAGTAGGTAGGGGCCAGAATGTACTGTCTGAAAGTATGCTGGAGGCAGGTTCAGTTGAAGCATCCAGGTAGGCATTGGATGGTTATTTAAATAGAAAGAATGTGCAAGGATATGGAAAAAAATAAGAGATTAGCACTAAGTTCAAATGCTCAGACAGTCAGTGCAGACACAATGGACCAAGTAGCCTCCCTCTGCTCTGTAACACGTCTTTTAGAGTCATAGAAAGTTATAGAGTCTTCCAAAGCGTGGAAAGAGGCCCTTCAGCCCATCATGTCTGTGCCAGTCATCAAACATAACTAATCCGATTTCCCAACACTTAGTCCACAGCATTGTATAAGACTATAAGAAATAGGAGCAGCAGTAGGCCATTCAGCCCCTCGAATCTGTTGCATCATTCAATAAGATCATGGTTGATCCAACATTCTTCGCATCCACTTTCCTGCATTTTAACGGTAACTCTTGATAACCTTACTGATCAAAAACCTATCACAGCGTCAAGTATGCAAATACTACAACTTTCCGACTGCTCAAATGTATAGTTCTTAAACGTCTTCAGAGTTCCCACCTTTATTATCACTTAGCGAGTTCCAGATTCCCACCTCCCACTGGGTGAAAAAAATCTTTCCTCAAATCCCTACTAAATCTCCTACTCCAGACCTTAAACTGTGCCTGCAGGCTATTGACCCCTCTACTAAAGGGAAAGGTTTCTACTTATCTACCCTTGCTGTGTCCTTCACAAAAATGAGGTTTCCCCCTCAGCCTTCTGCATTCTAATCTTTAATCTGTGTTCTCTTTCGTGGAAAAAGACTAGAAATAGTAGAAAGGCCCCGAAAAATCAGGTGCAGATCTGTTTTATGTGTAAGAGGTATTGGAGTTGGATCACTTTGCTGCACCATCTCTGACAACCCTTTATCCCTGATGTCACTACTAGGACAGTCTCTTGCACTTCTGCCTTATTTGGAACCGCACATCCGAAATACTTTGCCCTGAAGATTGACAGAACGAGGAGCCACTTGCAGGGTCCGCTCGGATTTTACGAACCAATAAGAGAGAGAAAACTGGGGTGGGAGGGGTGTATTTGTTTGGGTTGATAGTTTGCCTTCCATTAAATCGTCCTGACAGCCGAATATTAGACGGTGCTTAGCGCTGTGCTGGGGAAACATGTCTGTGTCACTTCACCTTGTATCAGAGCCGCATCTCCGGCTCACATTACTGACTACCCTCAGCCTCCTTGCAGTCAGGATAAGCCTTGCACAAGCACAGCAGGGTAAGTGATCACTTCCAGCTGAAGTTACGTGCAGAGAAAGAGAGAGAGAGAGAGAGGAGTATTATTTTTCCACACATTCAAAACAAGAACTGTTGAATCCAGATTGCTTGCAGACTGATGTTATTTACAACTTTTTGTTTGTTTGCACCGTTCAAAAGGGCGCATTAACAGATTTCAGGAAATCAATGATTAACCTGCAGTCTTCTTTATATTTCACTGTGAGGTTGGAGTGAAATGTCGTGTTCGTTTGGCAGTAACTGAACGGCAGGAACAGCAGTAGCAGAATTTCGGAAATTTGCTGTACGTCTGTCCTGAGATTAATTGTCTGGCAGCACAGCAACACACACAAATGAGCACTGGGCTTCATTGGAGGGCTCAATTTCGAGTAATTCAGCAACCTCCTTCCAACACAAATGTTTTGGTTTTAGCTGTTGTGTTCAGAATTGTGTTCAGCTATTCTTCTTTCTTACTCGACACCTGTATTTCTACCATACCGGTATCATTGATTTGCTCCATATCTATTAATTGTCACGATTAATATTATTACCAGTGACAATTAATGACTGCTACAATTTCGGCCTCATACTGTTAGAAATTGTTTGAAGAGGCAACTTTCCACTGTTAGTTCTTCCTCTGCCAAAAAAAACAAAACTGGACTGCAAAGTTCTTTGGCTGGTATGGGTATTTGTAATTCAAATTTGATGCATTTAGTCATTTGCAGTTCACTGTGAGGGCGACAGAATGCGGTTCTCTGCTGGTTCAATTGCTCAGGAGAATTTGCGCTGTTCACGTTGTTAGTCCTTAACTCGCCCTGGGCTGCTAAGAATGAAACCACAAAATGTACTTCCGTAATTGAGATGTTGGGGTGGGGGCGGATTTTTTTTTCTGGGTCTTTTTATAATAGACCTTGACTTTCAGAAGTGGCCACTTGAGATAACTTTATTCAGAGACAACAGTGTGGAGCTGCAGGCCAGGCAGCATCAGAGGAGCAGGAAAGTTGACGTTTCGGGTCGGGGCCCTTCTTCAGAAACATTTATTCAGTTTTTGTTTTAAATAGAATCTTTAAAGGTCCACTGTGATACCAAGGAGAAAATCTTGTATTGCCACCTTTCATTCAATCACTGAAGTACTGTTCATTTTTATTTAACAATAAATTGATATTAGCTTTATATTGTATTCAAATGTTACTTCTCAATTTCATTGATTTCTAATGCTCTTAATCCCGCGATGTGCAGGCTTTGAAATTCCAGGCATCTTCTTCTATCTGTACACTCAAAGTACTCTGCATGGCTTGACTACACTTTGGTTTCTTAATCTTAAAAATTTCAATGTTGTCAATACTTAAAACTGTGGTGAGAGACTAAAGTTCACAGTGAAAAGACATTGTCAAGGTGGGACATTTTGTATCGTTAGTGGAACTTTATCATTGTATACTGTTATAGGGATGAAGAAGATTGTGTAGGATACTACATTTGAAGACAGCAGAGATCAAGGGAAAAAGTTTTTGGGATTAATTATCATATCATTGGTAAGCTAGAACCAAGCTACAAAGGAAAGGGGTTAAGTATAAGAGTGGGATAACAAGGTGTAGAGCTGGATGAACACAGCAGGCCAAGCAGCATCAGAGGAGCAGGAAAGCTGACATTTCGGGTCTAGACCCTTCATCAGAAATGGGGGAGGGGAAGGGGGTTCTGAAATAAATAGGGAGAGAGAGGGAGGCGGATAGAATATGGATAGAGGAGAAGATAGGTGGAGAGGAAACAGACAAATCGAAGAGGCGGGGATGGAGCCAGTAAAGGTGAGTGTAGGTGGAGAGTTAGGGAGGGGATAAGTCAGTCCAGGGAGGACGCACAGGTCAAGGGGACGGGATGAGGTTAGTAGGTAGGAGATGGGGGTGCGGCTTGAGGTGGGAGGAGGGGATAGGTGGAAGGAAGGACAGGTTAGGGAGGCGGGGACGAGCCAGGCTGGTTTTGGGATGGTAGGGGGAGGGGAGATTTTGAAGCTTGTGAAATCCACATTGATACCATTGGGCTGCAGGGTTCCCAAGCGAAATAGGAGATGCTGTTCCTGCAACCTTCGGGTGGTATTGTTGTGGCACTGCAGGAGGCCCAGGATGGACATGTCGTCTGAGGAATGGGAGGGGGAGTTGAAATGGTTCGCGACTGGGAGGTGCAGTTGTTTATTGCAAACTGAGCGTAGGTGTTCTGCAAAGCGGTCCCCAAGCTTCCGCTTGGTTTCCCTGATGTAGAGGAGGCCACAATGGGTACAGCGAATACAGTATACCACATTGACAGATGTGCAGGTGAACATCTGCTTGATGTGGAAAGTCTTCTTGGGGCCTGGGATGGGGGTGAGGGAGGAGGTGTGGCGGCAGGTGTAGCACTTCCTGCGGTTGCAGGGAAAAGTGCCGGGTGTGGTGGGACTGGAGGGGAATGTGGAGCGGACAAGGGAGTCACGGAGAGAATGGTCCCTCCGGAAAGCAGATAAAGGTGGGGAGGGAACAATGTCTTTGGTGGTGGGGTCGGATTGCAGATGGTGGAAGTGTCGGAGGATGATGCGTTGGATCCAGAGGTTGGTGGGGTGGTACGTGAGGACGAGGGGGATTCTTTTTTGGTTGTTATTGCGGGGACGGCGTGAGAGGGATGAGTTGCAGGAAATGTGGGAGACACGGTGGAGGCCATTCTCGACCACTGAGGGGGGAAGTTGCGGTCCTTGAAAAACGAGGACATCTGAGATGTACGGGAGTGGAATGCCTCATCCTGGGAGCAGATGCAGCGGAGGTGAAGGAATTGGGAATAGGGGATGGCATTTTTGCAGGAAGGTGGGTGGGAGGAAGTATATTCTAGGTAGCTGTGGGAGTCGGTGGTCTTGAAATGGATATCAGTTTCTAGGTGGTTGCCCGAGATGGAGACAGAGAGGTCCAGGAAGGAGAGAGAGGTATTAGAGATGGTCCAGGTGAACTTAAGGTTGGGGTGGAAGGTGTTGGTGAAGTGGATGAACTGTTCGAGCTCCTCGTGGGAGCACAAGGCAGCGCCGATACAGTCATCAATGTAACGGAGGAAGAGGTGGGGTTTAGGGCCAGTGTAGGTACAGAAGAGGGATTGTTCCACGTAACCTACAAAGAGGCAGGCATAGCTTGGGCCCATGTGGGTACCCATGGCCACCCCCTTTGTCTGTAGGAAGTGGGAGGAATTGAAAGAGAAGTTGTTGAGGGTGAGGACGAGTTCGGCTAAGCGGATGAGGGTGTCAGTGGAGGGGGATTGGTTGGGCCTGCGGGACAGGAAGAAGCGGAGGGCCTTTAGGCCATCTGTATGGGGAATGCAGGTGTATAGGGATTGGACGTCCATGGTAAAGATGAGGTGTTGGAGACCGGGGAATTGGAAGTTCTGGAGGGCATGGGTAGTGTCACGGACATAGGTAGGGAGTTCCTGGGTCAAGGGGGAGAAAATGGAGTCCAGATAGTTGGAGATAAGTTCGGTGGGGCAGGAGCAGGCGGAGACAATGGGTCAACCAGGGCATTCAGGTTTGTGGATTTTGGGAAGGAGATAGAAGCAGGCGGTGCGGAGTTGGGGAATGATGAGGTTGGAGGCTGTGGGTGGGAGGTCACATCAGGTGATGAGGTTGTGGATGGTTTGGGAGATGATGGTTTGGTGCTCGGGAGTGGGGTCATGATCAAGGGGGTGGTAGGAGGAGGTGTTGGAGAGCTGGCGCCTGGCCTCGGCGATGTAGAGGTCAGTGCGCCATACTACAACTGCGCCTCCCTTGTCCGCGGGTTTTATGGTAAGGACAAACCTCTCAAGTAAAAAAGTGGGTTTTTTTTTATTCATTCAGAGGATGAGGGTGATGCTGGCTGGCCAGCATTTATTGTCCATCCCTAATTACCCAGAGTGCAATTAAGAGTTAATCACATTGTTGTGTGTCTGGAGTCACATGTAGGCCAACCAAGTAAGGATGGCAGATTTCCTTCCCTGAAGGACATTAGTGAACGAGATGAGTGTTTCCAACAATTGGCAATGGATTCACAGTTATCATTAGATTCTTAATTCCAGATTCCTATTTTCCTGAATTCAAACTCCACCATCTATCATGGCAGGATTTGAACTGCTGGTCTACAGAACATTATCTGGGTCTCTGGTTTGACAGTCCAGCAATAATATCACAAGGCCATCACCTCCCCAAGTTGCCTATCAAAGAGTTTGGTACATCTTATCCTCTATTCAGGATTGTTGATGAGGTTTTAGAAAAAGACTTTCCTGAACCAGGACCGTTTTCAAGTTGCACATGGACTTGGGTGTTGTTGAGGAGAACAGAAGTGCTTGGCTTGGTATATTGAGAGTGGGGAAGCTGTAGAATGTGGGTGCTTTCTTTAAGGTTACACTTGAATTTCTGTGACACATATCAGAGTTGAAGCAATATATAATTACAGTTAGTCATTTATTGCAGTCAGTCTGATTTTGAAAGATATTTGCAGAACATAATGAGCTGTCCAGGGCTTCACAATATTGAGGATGATGCAGGGCTGACACTAGATTCTTCATCACACATAACTCAGAAAACAAAAGCCGAAAGAACTGTGGTTGCAGGAAGTCAGAAAGAAAAACAGGATTTGCTGGAAAAGCTCAGCATGTCTGGCAGCATCTGTGGAGAGAATTCAGAGATAATGTTTTGGGTCCACTGACCCTTCCTCAGAACAGAAAGACTTAGAAAATGTTAGAAACACCAAGATAAATGCCTCAAAGCACCAGGGACCTGAGTTCGATTTGAGCCTCGGGCGACTGTCTGTGTGGAAATTGCACATTCTCCCCGTGTCTGCGTGGGTTTCCTCCGGGTGCTCTGGTTTCTTCCCACAGTGCAAAGATGTGCAGGTTAGGTGGATTGGTCATGCTAAATTGCCCATTGTGTCCACAGATGTGAAGACTAGGTGGATTAGCCATGGGAAATGCAGGGATACAGGAGATAGTGTATGGGGGTGGGGCTGGGGAGATGCTCTTCAGAGGTCA